CAACAAAATCCCCCCAAAGGACCTCTGCTGGCATAGTGGTGAAAGCATTTAGCTGCTAACCCAAAAGTCAATGGTTCGAACCCACCAGGTGTTCCGTGGGAGAAGAAATATAAGACATACTGCTTCTACAAAGATTTACAACTTCCAATATGGGATTTACTACCACAAGTCAGAAATGACTTGATGGTTTAGCTTTCTATGAGCCAGTTCTACTCTGTCCTATAAGGTCAGAGTCAGAATCCACTCAAGTGCAACTCCCTCTTCCTCTTGATTCATGACAGCTATGTGGGCTCCAAGTGGCTATTCCACTGGGCAGGAGCATGAAAGACTTAAAGTACAATGCTGCTTCCATATAGGGTAGGCAGGGTGGGGAGCTACCTGGGGTGCAGAAGAAATCTGTAAGAGATTCCTAAGAAGGTTCTCCTTCTTCGCTCACATCTGACTTTGAAAAGAGTAAAACATGGCTGAGTGGGAAAAATTCTATAAATCAGTGACAAGAAGGATAAAGTATTTGGGCAGGAGAATCAAAGGGTTATGGAGGTAGAACTGAATGAAAAGAACTCTGGGGAACCCCGGAGTTATTAATACCTGTGGTTACCAAAAAAGAGCCACCCTTGTAGTAACTTGTCTATCTAGGATGGACATACTTTGACTGTCAGAGAATATTTTTCTGTGTCCCTAGAAATTTTCCCTAAGATAAAAAATTCTTTGGGATATCTTAAGATTTTAAATTTGGCTGAATTTTCCTGTACTGCCCATCAGAATACCCAAGTTTTCATCCTAGCTCTATTGCTAAATAGTGATATGGTTTCAGGCCAGTTTCCCCATCTGTAAAATAAGATTTGGCTGCTACATTATGGTTAAGATGCACTCTAGGTTTAAAGTGTTATGGGTCTATGGGTATCATTATACTGAGACTATCAAGCAATTCCATAGAACATCTTCCACAAGGGCTTAACCAGCTGCTGTGAAGCTGTCACCTCATAGTGACTCCATGTCTGTCAGAACAGCACTATGCTCCACAGAGTTTTTAACGGCTGAGTTTCTGAAGTAGATTGCCAGGCCTTTCTTCCAAGGTTTCTCTGGGTAGATTCGAACCGCCAATCTTTTGGTTAGCACCCAAGTATGTTCATTGTTTGCACCGCCCAGAGACACCCCCCCACCAGGGCTACAGACTCTGTAAGATTGGGAGATGCAGGAGTTATTCTTATTTTATAAATAAAGGGCATTTGGGGAGGAGAAGGAATCAAGTCAGCCCTCTCTCTCGGCGAATACACTTTTACCCAGCAGTGAAGTTAGGGTGGAGGATGGAACACTGCAGCAGAGCAGCAGCAAGGCACAACAATGGCTTATTGATCTGCAGGGGAAACTCCCCATTCTCAGCCCCCAACAGTTGCCAAGCAGAAAAAATCCAAATAACATTTCTGGAACCAACCAACCAAACAAACAAAAACAACTCACTGGCCCTGAGTCAATTCCAACTCATAGTGACCCCCACTGGGTTTCTGACACTGTAAATCTTTATGGAAGTAGAACTGACCCATCTTCCTCCTTCAGAACAGCTGGTGGGTTTGAACTGCTGACCTTTTGGTTAGCAGCCAAGTGCCTTATTCACTGCACCACCAGAAGTCCTGTATGTCTGGAAAGTACCTGCTATTTCTGGGAATGTGAAAGTTTCTCTTTCCCGGAATAACAACCTTCCAAGGTAAGTCTCTCCCAGCAACCAGTGACATGTACAGCCTTGGATTTTCAGTGGTTGGTGTGTGCAGGGAGGATTGAGAGTGAGACAGTGAAGGGACATGTATTCATTTATTCAACAGATACTTGACTGTCTACTATGAATTGGATCCTGTGCCAGGCAGAAGATATAAAGCTTAACAAAATATATGGCCTTCCCCCCCTAGGCGCTTATGGTCTAGTCAGGGAAAGGATTTTTTTTTTTTTAAAGTAGAGTTTAATAAAGTGCCTGGGTAGTGCAAACAGTCTGCACTTGTCTACTAATCTAAAGGTTGGTGGTTTGAACCCACCTTGATCTGCTTCTGTAAAGATTACAGCCAAGAAAACTCTGTGGAGCAATTCTTCCTTGTAACAGAGTTGCCATGAGTCAGAATCAAATCCACAGCAACAGGTTTGGTGTTTTCACTTGGAGTTTAATAGGAGTCCGCAGATGGTGCAAACAAGGCACTCAACTGCTAACCAACAGCTTGCAGGGGCGAGGCCAGGATTCAAACTCCAGCTCCACCCACTGTATAAGTTTGGGAATTGCTTCATCTCTCTGAGCTTGTTTTCTCAACTGTAAAATGGGGATGGTAATAACCAATCTCATAAGGTTGTGGATAAGGAATAAAAAAGGGCAATCAATGAAAAACATTTAGCATAGTTCCTATGCATATTAAAACTTGTAATATTAAAACATATTAAAAATTACAATGTTGTTGTTTCTGCTAGGTGCCGTGGAGTCATCTCCAACTCATAACCACCCTATGGACAAAATTTGAATAGTAGTATTAACTGGTCTTCCTTGTAGGTGTATGGATATTATCACTATCACTGACAGCATTGTACTTCAGTATAGATGTTGAAACGTTCTTTGTGATGATGAATGCCAGGCCATTCCTCTTCGATTTGTCATTCCCGGCCTAGTAGATCATACAGTTGTTTGATTCAAAGTGGCCAAAACCAGTCTATTTCAGATCACTAATGCCTAGGATATTGATCTTTATGCATTCCATTTAAAAAAAAAAACTCTGTAACAGTATCAATGTAATTATTAACAAATAAATAATTGGGGAACTATAGTCTTTCCTCCATACCCCAAACCTAAAAACCAAACCCACTGCCATTGACTCAATTCCAACTCATAGTGATCCTCATTGGTTTTCCAAGGCAGTAAATCTTTAAGGAAGCTGATTGCCCTGTCTTCCTTCCACAAAGTGGCTGGTGGGTTTGAACCATGAACCTTCTGGTTAGTGGTCAAATGTCTTAGGCACTGTGCCACCAGAGCTCTCCATACCCCAGTTTCCCTAAAATATCAGACCAACAGTAAAGGGTAACAGATACAGAAAGGCAACCTCATGAATATTTGTTATATTGCTTAATATGTGTCTCAAAGAACAGAAAAAAATTCTTAAGATAGTTAACAAAATAATAATGGTGGTTATGGTGAAATAACCAGTAGTTTCCTTTTTCTTCTTTGTACTTTTCTATATTTTCTAAATGCATGCGTACTGTTGATATAATTACAAAAACAACATATTTAAAATATATTTATTATGCCACAATACTCTACTCGGCACCAGGCAAAGAAAGCTCCGTTAAACAAAGAAATAAGGTGGTATCCCTCCTCCCTGCTCCCCACATCCCCAGAAAGCTCACATGGGCCCAACCTCATCATGCTCCAGCTCCATGAACAACTATCCAAGGGCATAGCCCCGTGGAAACTCAAAGCAGGAGCTATCCTGGGCTGTGGAGATGGCCCTGAGAAGGACCCAGTGTCCTTGGGGCCTCAATCTTCCAGCTGTCACTGCAGCACCAGGCAGGCTGCTCCATGAGCTAGGCATGGTCCTGCAGCTCTCCCTGCTTGAGCACCAGGGTCTGGTCAGCGTTCTGAACCGTGTGCAACCTGTGAGCGATCACCAGCACTGTTCGGCTTCCACCAGCTCTCCAGTTCTGCATCTGAAAAGGGAGGACCACAATACCTCAGAAAGATAGGATATGGACACCATATCCCACTAAGCACCATCTCTTGTGGCTTAGGGTAACCAGTACCAGCTGCTGTTGGCAACACCATGTGTGCCAGAGAACTGTCCTCCATAGGGTTTGTAATGACTGATCTTTTAGAAGTAGATTGCCAGGATTTTCTTCCAAGGCATCTCTAGGTAGATTTGAATGCCAACTTTTGTTAGTGGCTAAGCATGTGAACAGTTTGCCCTACCCAGGCAAAGGTTGTGTTGCTTGTTGCCGTTGAGTCAATTCTAACTCATGGCGACCCCACTGTGTGACACCGTAGAACTGTGCTCCATAGGGTTTTCAATGTCTGACTTTTTAGAAGCAGATCACCAAGTCTTTCTTCTGAAAAGTCTCTGGGTGGACTTGAAATACTAACCTTTCAGTTAGCAACCAAGCACATTAACTATTTGTGTCATGCAAGGACTCTGGCTTAGAATAAAGAAGGTGGGAAACATGCAAAGGTAGGAAAGAATGGTAGGTCTGCACTGCTGTTATCTCTCACCAACACCAGCACAACTGGAGAAATCAGAAATGCCCCCACTCCCACCATATTCTCCACTCCATTCTCCATCCTCAGTCCTCAATCCTAGTAAGGCACCGATATTTCCATTAGTGGGCCATTCATCTTGCTCCTGCCCAATTCTGTATATGTTGATCCTTCAAACATGGTACTTCGTGTCTCTCACTTCCTTGCACCTCCCACACAGACTTCAGCACTCACCACCTGCTGTTCACACTCAAAGTCCAGGGCACTGGTGGCCTCATCCAGGATGAGGATCTGTGGGTCCCGCACAAGGGCTCTGGCAATGGCAAGACGCTGTTTCTGCCCCATAGCCAACTGGTTTCCCTTCTCGCCTATGTCTGAGGAAATCAAAGAAACATCTTTTCTTAGACACAAGTGGCCACAACATTCTTCACCACGAGTAGGAACAAGTGCACAACTAGTATTTCCACAAGAACCAGTCAGGAGATGTCAGGTGTAAGGAGGTCGTGGGGGTGGGGACCTAATGGGGCTGCCCGTGTGAGAAGAGCACTACTTCTATATGGCTTTCTGGGAACAAAAAGTCATGAACAAGAAAGATGCTAGAAAATTCACGGTGTTGGGGAAAAGGCGGAAGTGTGAATAAAAGAAAGGACAGGTAAGTAGTAAACATGGAGTTACAGGAATATGTTCTGTGAAAGACCACCCTCATGCCATACTTAAGTTACATTTTCTCATCTGACTGAAGGGCAGCCTTATAATTTGCAGAAGGTACCTGTGTGTATCCCATGCTCCATTTCCTCTATGAAGGTATCTGCGTGGGCAGCCTTTGCAGCAGCCATAACCTCCTCATCCTTGCAGTTCTCCAGCCCATAAGCAATGTTGTCCCTCACAGAGCCAGAGAACAGCACAGGCTCCTGCCCAACCAAAGCCACCTGTACAGAGTGGACACGGTCAGAGGGCTGTGTGTAAAGCCCCCATGACAGAGACCCTCCTGTGTGCCTCCCCTACCTCCACCAGAACAGACCCTTTGTGTTGCTTCTTACGGACTCTCCAATGCTCTCTGCACATGTTCCTTCTCTCCTGTGCCGTCCCTCTTCTCCCTCCCTACTCACCTTTCTATGCAGGTAATGATGCTCATATTGGGAGATGGGCTCCCCATCCAGCAGCAGCCGGCCCCCTGTGGGCTGGTACAGATTCTGCAGGAGGGCAGCAATCGTGCTCTTGCCAGATCCATTGGGCCCCAGCAGTGCAGTCACTTGACCAGGATAAAGGGTGAAGGACAGCCCCTGGAGAATCCAAGGAAGAGTTAGGAACCTACTACTTCTTCCTCAGGACCTCTCTCCCCATCTTCCCATTGTTGTTGTTGTTGTTTTGCCGTCGAGTCGGCCCCGACTCATAGCGACCCCTCCTTGGGTTTCCGAGGCAGTATCACTATGGAAGTAGGATTGCCCAACCTTCCTTCCGAGG